TCCTCCTCCTCTTCTTCTTCTTCTTCTTCTTCTAGTGACCTTTAGGGCCACACACTCCTTTCTCTGTCCCCCAGAGAACTTTTTGGGGAGAGTACCACTCTCACAGTAATCCACCACACATTCCACCTAGCTGCTGTCCCTCTCCACCTTCACTGTCACCTCTGTGCTGAGCTTAATCCCGGCTCGGTCCTCATAGCCAAACACCAAGTCTGAGTGAGACTCTTTCCATCTGCCGTACTTTTCAGATCTATCCACAGTTCTCCACCTGCAGATGCTACCACCTCAGTTTAATTATTACAACAATGTCCAAATGAGGCTGGGCATGGTGCTGCACACCTGTAATCCCAGTACTCGGGAGGCAGGGGCAGGAGGATCACTCCAAGTTTGAGGCCAGCCTGAGCTACAAAGTGAGCTCAAGGCCAGCCTGACCTGCATAGGGAGACCCTGTCTCAAAAAGACGAGAAGAAAAACAAACAAAAAATGCTGGCCAGGCGTAGTGGTACATGCCCATAATCCCAGCATCTAGAGGCTGAGGCAGGAGGATTGCCATAAGTTTGGGGCCAGTCTGAGTTATATAGTGAGTTCAAGGCTGGCCTGAATCACACAGTAGGACTCTGTCTCAGAAAACAACAAAACAAAACAAACAAACAAGCCGGCTTCTCAGGGATCCCTCACTCCTCCTTGAAGCGCTATCTTACGGTATCTGGTCCATTCTTACCTTTCCAGCATCACGGTGAACAAACCCTGCTCTACTCAGGTTCTTCACACTCTTCATTCCTTCGGTACCTAGAGTTTACTGTGCTTTCTTACTTCCAAGATTCCAAACATGCTCCTCTTTCACCCCTTCGTCTTCCTAACACCTCCAGCCTCACTATCACCTCCCGTGTGAAACCTTTCCTCAACTTCTCACCATGATTACCAGGGGCAGAGGATACAGCCACCACCTCACTCGCTAGACACTTTCCACAATTAAACTCCCAGGCCAGGAACCTATCAGTTTTGGATCACTGGGTACAATTGGAGAATAAAGTCTACTTCTAAAAGGAGGCTGGCTGGGCATGGTAGGCACCGTGTAATCCTGGCCCATGGGAAGCCGAGGCTGGAGGACCTCTGTGACTGCAGGCCAGTCTGACATCAGTCTGGGATACATAGTGAGAGCCTGTCTCAAAAAAAAAAAAAAAAAAGAAAAGAAAAAAAAAGAAAGGAAAGAAGGAAGGAAGGAAGGAAGGACTGCGGAAAGAACAACTTGACCTGGGGCTGGGGCTCAGTGGTGGTGTGTGTGCCCAGCACACACGAGACACTGGGTTCAATCCCAGCATCACCATCAAAAAGAAGTAAAATCAAGACAGTCTTTCTTCTAACAAAATTCTCAGCAGCCACACTACTCTTGTGTAACTAAGGCGCTATGATAATCAAAATCTATTTCACAGAAATTTACAAAGCTGGGCCAGAGAGATAGCGCAGTAGAATAAGCACCTGCTTGGCAAGCGTAGGGTCCTGAGTTCAATCCCTGGTACCACCAAAAAAAAAAAAAAAAAAAAGAAAAAGAAAAGAAACAAATTTACAAAGCTCACAAAACCTGAAGTCTTGGAATACTTTGGGTAACTGACTCAGATGTGTGTCCAGGGAACATCACCGATTTTTTCCCCCATAATTTTATTGATAAACAAATAGCAATGAGACAGTTAACATCACCGATTTTGTTTAAAGATTAGCCCTCACTCAGACAGCAGTGGAGTTTCAACTAGCTGTACTGAAGCAAGATAAGCCACTCTGGCTGGAATTTTAAGGAAGTTTATCCAGGGCTAGGGTTGTGGCTCAGTGGCAGGGCACTCTCCCCCATAAGAGGGAAGCCGGGGGTTCCCCGGGGAGATGGCTCAGTGGAATAAGCGCTTCCCTGGCAAGGGCAAGGGCCTGAGTTTGATCCCTGGTTACACACACACACACACACACACAAAAGTAGCAGGCAGGGGGTGGGGGTAGGGAGCAGTTTAAACAGTCATCAAGAGGTGTTTAAGAATGCTACAAAACACACACTGGGTCTCTAAAGGGAAGCTCATTCTACCCTGCACTATGGCCTCCGTCACACCTGTTGGAGTCCTCTCTACCGGACTTGACTTGATCAGCCCAGCCAAAAGCAGAAGGCACTCGTGGTCACTCAAGTCAGAGAAGCCTATTTACAGTCAACCAGGAGCTCCTGACCCAGAATTGGCTCAACCCCCTCAGGACATTTAACTCCACTCCCAAGGCAGAAAACCCTCCCCTTTAAATTTTTTTTTTTTCTGTTAACCCACTAAATTAACATTATTTTGAGTCAGGTTCTTTTAAAACTTTGCTAATATCAAGGGCTGGGGTGTAGCTCAGGGGAAGAGAGCTAATTTAGCATGCACAAGACCCTGGCTTGATCCCCAGCACCATCAAAATCCAAAAAGCAAACTCTGCCTCATGGAGTTTACATGTAGGGTGGTGGAGCAGGAACAATAAGGTTTCTCCATTCTTTCCATTTTACATAAAGAACAACTTTGATATCAAGCACAAAGACCTACACTGCTTTACTCCTGCACCACACTAGTCCTGTGAAAGCCTTATACTTAGTATAACAAGGCGCAAAAGACATGGAACAAGAGGAAGAAAGGAATCAGTGTCATGACTGCTAAAAGCAAGTGGAAAGGCTGGCGTGGTGACTCATGCCTGTGACCCCAGCACTCGGGATCCTCAGCATTGCTGAGGCAGGAAGATGGCCATGGGCTCGAGGTCAGCCTGGGCCCTAGAGCGAGTTCAAGCTAGCCTGAATTATAGGCAAGCTTACCTAAAAAAAAAAAAAAAAAAGCAAATGGGTGACACTGTACTTTGTCACTGTGCCAAGTTTTAAGTTTTTCTTATGCTCAAAATCAGAAGCAAGCTGAGTGTGGTGGTGCACACCTGTAATCCCAGCACTTAAGACACTGAGGCAGGAGGATTGCGGAGACTTCAAGACCAGCCTGGGCTACAAAGTGAGCCCTGGGTCAGCCTGAGCTGCACAGCAAGACCCTTTCTCAAAAAGACTTTAAAAAAAAAAGTCAAGCGCTGATGAACGCTGACAATTAGCATTTTCTACAAAGGTACTGTGTATTTCTTATTTTCTTTTGTCACCTCTACTTGTTATTTACACAAATCCAAAAAAGATAAGCCTCCTTGCTTTTCTTCAGTGCATATTAGAATAAAAAGAAATTAAATGATATTTTTTCAAAGGAATGGAACCACTGAAAGAACATTTCATTGCTCATCTAAGATTCACATGACTGTGCTTTAGTCAGAGAATTTTCCTACTACTTGGAAAAAAGCAGGCTTAGTCCTCTAAACCTTGCAGCTATAAAATTGTAGCCTTAAGCTTTTTCTCTGGGAAAACTACTGGTAATAGGACGATTTAATACAACGAAGGTGGTTTCAGGGTGTCAATTATCAACACAACTGGAAACCACTTTTTCTCTTATTATAGATCAAGACCCAATTTTATTTTTTATTTATTTACAGTATCAGGGATTGAACTCATCAAGACCCAATTTTTAAAAATTTAAGAAAAAAAAAAGGGGCCAAGGAGATGGCTCAGTGGAATAAGCACTTCCCAGGCAAGCTCAAGGGCCTGAGTTCAATCCCTGGTTCCGCCAAGAAGAAAAAAAAAAAAAAAAAAAAAGAATCAAGACCTACCCTACCACCCTTCCCAGAGGTTTTGCCTTATATTTTTTTGAGAGAGGGGGGTCTAGCTATGTGGACCAGGCTGGCTTTGAACTAGATTCAAGCGACCCTCCTGCCTCTGCCTCTTGACCAGCTGGGATTGTAGGCGCGCATTCAGGTTCCCAACGCCTACAAACTTGAAAGTATGACGCACTTTTCAAACTCTGAGCCTGTTAACCCAGGACTGATTATACACTTTCAAAATCGATGTAATTTTATGGTTTGCCTAACAACTTTTTTCACACTCCCTGACTCACCTACGTCGTGCCAAACACTGGTAGGTCCTTGGACTTACAAGGTGAGAAAATGGGATTTTGCATCAGGCAAGAGTAACGCACAAGTAGATTCACTAGCTCCAACATGGTAGAGGAGCCTCTTCCAAGAGGAAGATGCACAGTTCACAAAATGGTCTCAGAAGTCACTGGAAGCTGCGCTCTCTACCCCCAGCACGCTCTTTTCCCAACATCGTGAACACCCGCTAAAGCGTTAAGTGAGAGGGTTACTGTAGATTCTCGTGCGGATTCCTGCCAGATTGAGCGCCCGGAGCACCCCGAGCAAGCACGGACCGCTGGCTGCGGCGGGAGGCGGCGCCCGGGCGCCGCGCGCAGCACCGGACAAGTCTCGCGAGCTGCGGCGCACATCTCCCGGTCAGGGAATCGCGCTCCAGCAGGGAAGCACGAGACTCGCGGGTCGGGGCGACCGACTCCGCAGCACGCCGGCTGTCCAACGCCCGCCGCCCTCCCTGAGCCGGACTCCAGCCCACCACCCCCGGCCTGCCCCACGGCTTCACGAAGTTCAACCTAGCCCCTCACCTGCTTTTGTACATCAGCGTCGCTAAGGGCCATGGCGAAAGTGACACGACACCGGCGGGCAGCTGCTTTTAGCTCAGTTGTATATGAAGCGGAGAATACAAATGAGAGCAGAAAGCTCCGCGCAGCTTTCAGCTTCCTTTAATTTATAACCGGGACTTCCGGTTCCTGTCACATGACCATGCACAGCCAATAGGAGGGGGAGAAGGCCTGGAAGTCCCACCCCTCCCTGACGGTCTCTAGCTGTGCGCATGCCCAGCTGTCTCCTCAACATTCCGTTCTCGTGACTTGGGTTTTTTTTTTTTTTTTCGGTATTTGGTTTTTAACACACGGCTAGCTCCGCAGTTCAGGCTATCCTTGAACTCACTATTTAGCCCAGACTGGCCTCAAATTTATGGGCGATCCTCACGGTCTGATGAGTGCTGGGATTGTAGGAGCGCGCGGTGACTGGTTCTGCTGAGACATTCCTCAAAAAAGAATTCCTGTATCGTTTTTCCCCTGAACTCAGGAATACTGATTGTTCACAGTTCTAGGGAGAAGAAGCCAATGTCAGGGTGCCAGCTGATTGGCTGCTAGGAGGGGCTGTCTTACTAGGTTTGTTTTCTTGTTTTTTGCAGAACCGGGGATTGAACTCAGGTCCTTGTGTTTGCTAGGCAAGCACTTATTCCACTGAGCCAGCTCCCCGGCCCTTAGGTTTGGTTTTGGTTCGGGTATTTTATTGTTTTTAAATTTTTATTAGCACACGGTTGGAATGCATAATGATTACATTCCTTGTGGCGAGTTGGTACCGGTGTATAACGTCTTCTTGTTACTTCTTCCCCTCCCTTCACTCCCCCTCCGTCTGTTGGTCCTCCATCTAAAGTAATCAGCAGATTCTGTGCAACCCTTACGTGTTTTTAAAAGTTTAAATACTTAATATTTATACCAAACTAACATGTATTACAACTTTACTTTCTTAGCTTTGATGGAAACAAATTCATTAATATTTCCCTTTTCGTTAATAAAATTTATGGGAAGCGGTAAAGTTGAATTCAGAACTGCCCTGGGCGCCACAGGACAACCAACATAGGGATAAACTAATTATTGGTTGGGTAAGGAGGCTCTGTAGCATCTATTAACTAAGGCGTGGCCAGGTGTCTTCTTCTTTCTTTTTTTTTTTTTTTCCTTTGGCGGAACCAGGGATTGAACTCAGACCTTTGCGCTTGCCAGGGAAGCGCTTATTCTACTGAGCCACCTCCCTAGCCCCATCACTTCCCTTTCTCTATATGTGCCGTCTGATCATATTGTTGGTTGGAGTTCATAGAATCTCTGGTAGCTGCCTGATTCCCCCCCCCCCCAACCGGGTATTGAACTCAGGCCCTTGCGCTTGCCAGGGAAACGCTTATTGCACTGAGCCATCTCCCCAGCCCCGCTGCCTGATTTTCAAGTGGCTTTTTTTTTTTTTAAATTTTATTTATTTATGTGTGTGTGTGTGTGTGTGTGTGTGTGTGGCCAGCTCAGCCCACCAGGGGGCGGGGCTGGCATGTGGTGCTGGGGGATTGAACCGCGGTCCCTGTGCTTTGCTAAGCTTGTTCTAAGTAGGTGCTTTAGATCACTGAGCCATCTCACCAGCCCTTTCAAGTGGCTTTTATTTTTCTCAAACTACTAAATTTTTTTATACCAGGAATTGAACTCAGGACCTTGTGCTTGCCAGTCTAGTGCTGTGCTCTGAGCTTTATCCCTGGCCCTCAGACTACTAAATTTATTGACCCAACAAAGTCCCCACCCCCACCCTCCTCCCCAGGTTGCAAATGGAACCCAGGGCCTTGCTCATGCTAGGCTAGTGCTCCACAGGCCAGAAAATTTCACATTAATGGATTTTTAAGTCAGCTTTAGATTTACAGAGCATTAGGCAGACAGAGCAGAGTTCCCATAGCTTTTTCTCCCCTCACAGGGCTTCCTCTGTGATTGACATCCTATATTAATGTGGTGTATTTGTTATAATTAATTAACTAGTATAGCTTATTAATTAAAGTCCAGGGCTGGGGAGATAGCTTGGCTGTCTAAGTGCCTGCCTGGCAAGTGCAAGGACCCAGGTTCAATCCCTGGTGCCGCATGCAGTGGTGCATGCCTATAATCCCAGCACTGGAGAGGCTGAGACAGGAGGATCACAATGAGTATGAACTGTGTAGCAAGACCCTGTACCAAATAAATAAATAAATGCAATTTTTTATTTTTTTTTACCTTTTTTTATCATTTATTTGTGTGTGTGTGTGTGCGCGCGCGCACATGTGTGTGTGGCCAGCTCAGCCCATCAGGGGGTGGGGCTGGCTGGCATGTGGTGCTGGGGGATTGTACTGCAGTCCCTGTGCATTGCCAAGCTTGTTCCAAGTAGGTGCTTTAGACCACTGAGTCATCTCTCCAGCCCAATGCAATTTTTTAAAAAGAAATAAAGTCCGGGGCCGGGGAGATGGCTCAGTAGCATAAGCACTTGCCTGGCAAGCACAAGGGTCTGAGTTCAATCCCCGGTTCCACCAAAAATAAAATTAAAAAGTTCATAGCTTATTCATACTTCTTCAGTTATAACATATTGCCCTTTGTATGTTCCTGTGAGAGATAAAAATATTTTAATTAACCCATATTTCTTTAACCTCTCTAATAAGCTCTTATTCACTGAATTAGCTGGGTCAATAGCAGACAGGGGTGGGGCCAGGGAGATAGCTCAGTAGAATAAGGACTTGCCTGGCAAGCCCAAGGTCGTGATTTTGATGCCCAGTACTACCAAAAAAATAGCAGACAGGGACAGGCAGGCTGTAATAAGACACCAGAGATAAGGTACTGGGGTTGCTGGACATTGTGTTGCATGTTTGTAATCCTGGGAGGAGGCTGAGGCAGCCTCCTTGTTATGTGTTCAAGGCCAGCCTGAACTTTATAGTGAGATAACAAGCTTTCCTAAATTTCTTCCCAAGAAGTCAAAAGGTCACAAATAACAGCAAAAAGGAATGTAGAAGAAGGAAAGTAAAAAAAAAAAAAAAAAGGAAAAGGGAGGTGGGGAAGTTACAGGTGTGGGCTGAGACAGATTGCTGGGGACAGATTGTGAACCCAGATCCTAGACGGGGGGATGGGCTGAGGGATTCGCAGAAGTTAGGAACAAAAACACGCAGCTTCTCGAGTCGCCTGCATCTGTCTGTGTGAGGGCCCCACTCTTGCAAGAGTACAGCCTTGTTTCTCCTGCCTCTGGAGTCCCGTTTCCTGTGGTTTGGCATCCGATTCCTTTCTCCCAGTTCTGGGATCCCATCCAGGCTACCACACTGTGTTGCTTGCTGTGTTTTTTGAAGCTTCCTTTGGCTATTGCTGTTTCTCACTTTGTCTTGAGTAACCTGATAGTTGTGAGCAGTATTGGTTAGGTATACGACAGGCAGGGACTATTGGAATTTTCCTCGTAATTATATAGGGGTTGAATTTTAGGCAGATCACAGGCATAGTCAGGGATATAGCTCAGCAGGTTAAGTGTCTACCTGGCAAGTGCAAGGTCCTGAGTTTGATCCTCCATATTAAAAAAAAAAAAATCACAGGTACGGTATCATGTCAAATCAAGGTCACACGCTATGATTTTTTTCTTTTTTTGCCTGTGCTAGGAGTTGAACCAAGGGAATTCCAATATATACATACACACAAGATAGATAGATAGATAGATAGATAGATAGATAGATAGATAGATAGATGGATCTATCTATCTCACAGTTGCAGCCCAGGTTGGTCACCAGTTCATAGTGATTCTTGCCTGACTTTGAGCTATATATTTTTATTTTTGTCTTCTTTTTTTCAGACAGGGTTTCGCTATGCATTTCAGGCTAGCCTTGAACTTACTTTGTAGTCCAAGGTGGCCTTGAACTCATCGAGATCCTCCTGCCTCAGCCTTCCTAATGCTGGGATTACAGGTGTGCACCACCATGATTGACTTTTGGGCTCTTCCACGGACAGCTTTCACAGTGGTCCAGTGCTTGATATACCATCACAGGCTTTCCTATAATACAAAACCAAGCTGCCCAAATGCCAGGGAATAGAATTGTTCACCTCTGTACCAAGAAGGGAGGGAGGCCACTCTGTGTGTGGTATTTGCTCAGGCAGACTTTGAGCGGTTCCGCTGTGTGACCTAAAGTTCTTATGGGATTGTCTCAAGTGAAGAGGCACCGTCAGGAGGGCCTCCTGGGGCTCTGTGCGTGCCAAGTGTGACTACAACAGGGTCAAGCTTGATTTCCTTATTGAAAGGAAAAAAATTGTGACGTCACTGTTAAAGGCACAAGCACAGAGTCAGAAGGCGTTTAGGCCAGGGAGATAGCTCAGTGGCGTCAGGGTCTGCCCGGCCAGTGCAAGGTCCTGGGTTCAATTCTGGGTACAAAAAGAAGGCTAGGGGGCTGGTGAGATGGCTCAGTGGTCTAAAGCACCTACTTAGAACAAGCTTAGCAAAGCTTGGGGACCGCGGTTCAATCCCCCAGCACCACATGCCAGCCAGCCCCGCCCCCTGGTGGGCTGAGCTGGCCACACACACACACACACCCACACGCACACACAATAAATAAAATTTTTTTTAAAAAGGCTAAATAAAAGATGTAGCTCTTTGAATAATAAACAATGGAAAGACTAAAAAAATTCTTTTTAAAAAAGCTTTGAGGCAGTTCTAAATCAGCCAGTCTGACCTAGGAGTAATCCTCCTATTTTAGCTGCCAGATAGCTGGGATTACAGGAATATCATTCTTTTAAAAATGTAGGGGCCAGGGAGATGGCTCAGTGGAATAAGTGCTTCCCTGGCAAGTGCAAGGGCCTGAGTTCAATCCCCAGTTCCGAAAAAAAAAAAAAAAAAGTAAGCTAAGCAGAACCAGGGATTGAACTCAGGCCCTTGTGCTTGCCAGGCAAGTGCTTATTCTACTGAGCCATCTCCCCAGTCCCCTATATCTGATCCTTAAATTACCAGCCTGTGCTATAATCTGACTTTAAGGTCAGCCTGAGGGCTGGGGAGATGGCTCAGTGGAATAAGTGCTTCCCTGGCATAAGCGCTTCATAAGCACTTCCCTGGCAAAGGCAATAGACCTGAGTTCAATCCCCAGTTCCGCAAAAAACCAACCAACCAACCAACCAACCAACCAACAACAACAACAAAAAAAACCCCATAAGGTCAGCC